CTTTCAGACTGGAGTCACACTTCAAGCTTACTCAGATTTTCTTCATACTTCAATGAAAATAAGCTTGATTTAAGCAAAGCAAAAAAGCAGAATATACTACATCTATAGATTTTGGGGAATTCTTTTTACAGTATCTTAGACTTCAATTATGGATGTTCCAAAACTCATTGTTATATAATTAGGCAAATCCTGGATGATATGTGAAACATAATTCTTTAAAAACTTGAGTAAAATTCATCTAACAAGCTCAGTTTCCATGGATAAGAAGTCCTAGATTGACAGAAGACTGAAGTATTTTACTTTTTCACAGAAGGAGTCAGAAAAAATTACAGCAGTAACACATTTACTTCAAGACACCTTAAATACACTGTCTAAACTTGTCCCATGAAAACCACTATTAAAAAAAAATTAAACTGCCAGAATTTCCACAAGAGACAGGTATGTTATTTCCTCGTGTAACCTCAGCGGTCACAAAACTGGATCCAAACCACCAGGTCACATAAGGCCACCAGTGCTGGCACAGATTTGGTGACACAGAAGTTAAGACCTCCAGTTCTCCAACTTATTATATTCTCCTGACGCCAACACAAATAAGCAGGTGCAAATTGTAAAGTGTGTAGGAGTTTTAAACTTCAGGGAATTCATTACTGCCCTGAGACTGCTTTGTTCAATATTAAAATGCTGCTTCTGAATTACTACATGAGCTTCCAACCTTAACTACCAACTGTAATTACAATACAATTACAATCACAGACACTCTTAAAATCAGCATGTCCTCACACAAAAATCATCATCTCCTTCAAGTGATTCCACCTACAACATGCCATTCATACCCTGCCAGCAATACTCATGTTGAGCGTTCAAAGGGATGCAAAGCCAGCATTCGGTCGTTTCAAAAGACATTTCAAACACTATTCTGACAATATGTGGTGAATTTTAGGCATAGTTACATTACTTTCTGTAGCTGTATTTCAGCTTCTGCTATTTTTCAGGGTGGATCTGTTACAGAACTCTGGTTTTGCACAAAGCTCGATCAGTGAGATACACAAGTAAAAATGTAACAACATACGTGTCTATGCACATATGCAAAAAATCCCACTAAATACGAGAATTTTGCACCCACAAGCTACTTCAGTGTAATTTAAAAGAAAATATTTTATATAATCCAGGAAACTCCAGTGTTTCTTCAATTCTATATGCAGAACTTGTATTTGCAATACAGGGACTAGAGGCATATAGATAAAATACCTGCAAAGAGCCGGTAGGTTCTTTGGCCTTTAAAAATTTTACTTTTCACACCAGGAGATAGTAGCTCTGGAGAAGGGAAAAAAAGTCACAAAGGCAATAGTTAGCAAGCTTAGAATTCAATTTCAAAGGGATCAATTATTTCTAAAAGAAACCAACACTACCCATAAAGGAGGAATTTTAATTAAAACTTCTTTGCAGCCTTGAAAGAAGGTTATGGTTCTGATACCTGATAACCAAGGGAATGATTTTTGAGCTTTGCTGAACACTAACATTTATGGAAGGTTTAAAAATAACACCAGAAACACTGAAGGGGAAAAAAAAAAAGGGGGCAAAAGATCAGACTACTCATTTTTTTCCCTTCATTCCTACTGTCAGACAATGATAAAAATCAATTTGAGATTCCAAGTCATACTACAACCATTTTTGCCAGTCAAGGAAAATTGAACTAATTCTACAAACATCCATTCTTTAAAGAATTTTTAAAATTCAATATTAAGTAAAACAAAAGGGTACTGTCTGAAAAAGTACGTATTTCATCCAAGGTCATTAATTTTATTTATCTGTTCCTATTTGAACTACTGGCTAGCTAACAGCCGATTTGTCAGATCAAAACTAAATGCATTTCATTTGGCAAGCTTCAGAGGTTGGATTATATGCAAGCTCTCACACTTTGTAAAATCTGTATCTCTTAAGATATTTGTTAAACGAAAGAACTTTGTTGTTTAACTTCTGAACTATGGCTTACTTGTCTGCCTCCAGGCTGCATTTTCTAAAAAATGCCAAGTTTCCTTTCATCAGCCCCTGTTTATTACCATAATTTGCCACTTCTGTGAATGAAGTCTGACATAAAATATCTACTATTACTTGGCAACAGCCTTGTGTAGGGACATACCCCTCATTCAACAGGATCACTTCCAATATCTGTCATCAGCAGTCTATAACATTACTCCTTAAATCTGCAGGAAGCTCTTATTTGGCCACGCCAGTGCCTAGGATGTGGCAAAGGTTGTAAATATTTTGCCATAATGTTCTCTGCAAAATGGATGCCTAAAGTCTTACGCAGGCAACGTCAGGTGAATCCAAAAACCCAAATACATCCTTTTTATATTAAAAAAAAAAAAACAAAACATCATAGAAGAACAAATCTTGTGCACAAAACTGAGAGCAAAGAAGAAAACAAACACAACCAGATACCCTTAGGAAACACGACATTATCTTTTCCCTGAAGGAGGGAAAATTCTGTTAAAAAAATCTTTACCTTTACTGATTTCCAGATCAACAGGATACTCGATATTCTTGATAAGCTTCTGGCACCCACCAGTTTTCTCATATACAAACCGCTTGAGGTGTAAAACAAGAACAGGGGGGAGTTCTTCTAATGTCACTCTTCGACTGATCTCCACCTAACACACACATGGAACAAAGATGAAGAAAAACTGTAATTTTTTTGTTAACTGCTCATAATTACTGCTTTAAAAGAGGAATAAGTATTTGATCTTAAATACAGTAGCAGAAACCACACAGGTATTATGATTATTATTATCCAGATTAAAACAGAGACAGTAAGAATATATGATTTTTAGCTTTATCAGCAGTCCTGAGTTGCCCCTCTGTATAATGGAAATGAAATACTTCTTTGCAATACATTCTGAAAATTACTATCTGCAAAGTCCTTCGCTAGTTCTACAGTGAATGTGTTCAGTGTTTTCACTACAATTTTAATACAAGAACAGCTATTTCAACTTGAATTTCTTTCGAAAAAAGATCTAAAAGACATTGTGAATGCCTGTATTTCCATTCAGACTCTAAAATATAAGCCAGACCAAACCTCGAGCACCTAATTTGAACACCCATTTCTTCCAAACCCCATAATTGAATGCTGGGTTGTCAGTAAAGAAGTTAAAACCATCTGCAGTAAAAACCAAAAAATGAATGACTAGCAAAACAAAATCTATGTGGTAAATCATGATGAGCTTGCATTGCAAATGTTCCTTTCACATGGAAGACAACTGGAGAAATAAATGTTCTCCAAGACTCCTACTGAGTATACGAGACAGGCAAATCTTTAGCTTTGCAAAGACAATGGTCTATCCTTTTTTAATCTAACCACATTCTCATTTGAGTATTTTGAAAACTTACAGGTCCAGAAATGAATGGCAGAGAGACCATCTACAACTCAAGAGCCTCCTGGCCTACTCAAAGGAGTTATGACCAGTGTACGCAAAACTTCCATCTGAGCAATCCATGCACACCAGAGATGATGTTCTTTACTAATGCACACCGTAAGAAGCAATGCAATACCTCAGTGGGGAAAATGTTTAATTCATTACTCTATATCACAAGTTCTCAAACTGTAATGCCAAAAGCATACTTTTCTTCCTATGAAGTACTTTTCTGTTGTAGTTATTACTATTATGTATTGCATTATTTGAAAAATAAGATAAAAAAAATTGCACAGCCGCATGAGAATACAGAATAAAATGCCCTGGTACTTAAAGTGACAGACAATCACAGGGCTTCGAGATGCCAAAGGGTCCTCCATTCCAGTCTCTCTGAATCAATTAAAATGATTTGTGTAAATCCCGACTGGTGTTTCTCCAACCTTCTCTTAAAGCAGTGACAACAACTCTACGGGCATGACAGGTAACACCTAGTCTAGGTCCTATTCTTATTTACTTTGAGTATCACTGAGAAAAATCAGTCTTTCCCTTTTTAGAGCAGCCTTTGACTTCACATCTGGCTCCATCTCTCTACTTCCATGTTTTTTCTTCTTGATGCTGAACAGCTCCATTTACATCACAACTTTTATACTGCTATTCATTTTGACTGCTATTTTCCAGATATTCTCCAACTGTGAAGAACACCTTTCTTGAACCGATGACCTAAAACTGAATATAGTATTACTGACAAGCTGGGTTTTTCTAGGCCTGTGTAGAGCAAACCAGTCAACTATGAACTGCCAGGGACACTGAAGGGAAGTTTTACTGCCTTGAAAGATTTCAGACTATTAATCAAGAGAGAAAACCAGTGATCACCAGATGTTTTAGTGAAGTTCCAGATGGACTTCTACCAGGCCTGCCACCAATGAATACTTTCATGTTTGATTTCTAAGTGAAATGTGTACATCAAAACCCATCAAGGATAGCCACACAAACAAACATGCAAGTATCCTGCTACAAGAGTCTTCTTCTTAAAGCTAGAGTGTGTTTTCAAACAATAATCCAAAGAGTTGCTCCTTTATTAAGAACATCTGGCAATCCCCAGTAATCAGTATGTTAAGATCAGCTAAAAGCTATCTTACTCATACTAGTACGTATTATTACCACAGCTCACCCTGTTAATTTAATATACGCTTCAGTAAAATCTCCAACCAATTACTACACCAAATCAGAAAACATACCTACTTACAGGCATGGTTTTGTTTACGAGTTATTCCTCTTCCTTTCAGTGTATATGTTCAAGGTTAATACATTTTACCACCGCAGGACACTTTGAAAAGGTTAGTACCTCTTTTGTTAACACAAGTAATAAGCGTTCAAGTAACTATTTGTAAGCAAGAGCTGTACAAAAACGCTTTCAAATAAGTTTAGTATTTGACTGCAAAAAGGGGTCAACAGAACACACCTCTTGCTTGGTTTTTGTGGTATAACCCTGGACAGACTCTCTCGCCACCAAACTTTCCAACGCATCCTGAACTGTGCGAATCTTGTCTGACTGGATATCCAGTTGCAGGGTGAAGAAAGGTTGCAGTGTAGCTGACTCCTTAGAACTCTGCTGGTAAACAACAGATCTGTGGAAACAAAAAAGTTAAAATGTACTAAAGTATTTTTCATCAATATAGAACCTTCAAGTAAGAACAGACTGAAGTCTACTTCAGTAATTCGATTTATCATTAATCCAAAACAAAACACACAAATACAAAGATCAAGCCAAAGTTTCAACAACCTGAATCCAGTTTACTGCAATTTTAATGATCTTCACATCCACTCAGAGCATACAGAATGGGATTATACTTGAATTGTTCTACTTATGCAAGGATTAAAACAGTTATTGGAAAAGCATCAAAAGCTTAAAGAAAAATACTGACATTTTTGATAATACATTTAAAAATATTTACCTCCAGACTCTTTTCACATTAGAGTTAAATTCTGTTTTCTAACAGATCTTCAGGAGTACAAAATACCAGTGATTATCTAACTGTACACTTTACTGTGAAAATTACAACGAATTCCAGATTCTTCAACAAAAACACACAAATTTTTTAGTCACTTCACTAAGACCAATTTCATTGTGATTTTAAATTGTTTGCTTAAATCTTGCCATAGGAAATATAAACTATGCTCCATTGAGGACTGGCATTTCCTTTTCCTCCATCATTTTATGTGTCCAGACTTTGTCCATGTACTCCTTTGTACATAAATTGTAGTCTTTTGGAAAACTGGCAGGAGTAATGACTTCGGGCATGAGAACGTTTCCTGGGTTGGTTTTATTTTGTTTTTATTTTTGTTTGAAGTGTATTCAGCTGCAGCCTTTAAGTAGACTGGCTTGGTGATCATTGTTTTGTGCAATGAGACAGTACACTCTTCAGCCACGACGTCACTGCACTAAGTGGACTCTTCCTGATTTTCATTTTCCTGAAACTTCACTGAAAACTTAGAAACATCAAATGTGGCCCAAGAATTTTTATTTTGAAAGCAGTACTTATACTAAAAAGCCCCAGCTGCTACAAAAAAGTGGTTTTATATAGCCAAATTATTCACTCATTTATTGTACTGTTACGCTTGTACAGCGCCTCACAAAGCTTGGAAGCAGTAAGATAACAAACAGAGTTCTAATCCATGTGGCCATGCTGAAATTTCTCCAGGTCATGTACAAAATGTTAACACACAGGTTTAATGCCGGTACTGCCAACTCTTATCAAAAGAGCCCCTTTGACTCAAGGCAAATCCCTGAAGCACCAACAGAAAGCCAAGGCATCTTTATACTGGCAAACATATATCCTTGAGAGGAAAGAGAGCGTATGAAAAACAGCAGCATCTTTATTTCAGTTTTACACTTCCTCCTTGGCTATATTTAAGGACAAAACCTTCAACACATGGCAAGCACAGTGTTTTAACAAACAAACCCTTCACTGTGAACGTCTTGCTGCTTTTGGATACACTTCCCAAACTCTTTTTAAGTGAACCATTATTTACTGCAATAGTCAACAAAAAAATGCTAGCAACTCCAACTGTCTTCAAGTCCATGTATTAAAGATTTAATTAATAATACCCATAATATTCTGAAAACATAATGTTAAGGAAAAACCTTTTTCTTTAATTATTAGAAATTAAATCGAAAAATTTATTCAAAACATTTTCTTCAAAAAGATAAGCAAATATTGATTTAATAGCAAAACCTCTGCTGGACCATGATTTTCTGTAACAACATCACTTCCTAGAATAATTACAAATTTCAGCTGGTCAAGGGAAAAATGCATCATTTTTAAAGCATAATTACTCTGGGGTACTGTACGAACTCTACAGTAAGAATTTTTCAGGAAAAGAGACACTGCCCATTGTAGTTTTAGCAACGTGGTAATGTAACAGATTTATTTTTTTTTACAACACTGCATTTGAAGAGAAAAGTTGGTACTACTTACGGAAATTTTTAGCAGACTTCTAACTGGCTTGTGAGCTAGCTTGCATAACAAATATTTGAAATTCACACAAGCTGAAAGTCAAAAAGGACTTCTGTACATGAACGAACCAGATCCTGACAGAACTGTGTATCCTTGTACTTACACATTTAAGGCTCACATTGCCCAAGGAACACTTTTTTTTTTTTAAGCAATTATGTCTAAATAGGCATTTAACAGACAAAGCCTCGAGGACAGCCTGAAGTTTCCCAAGCCAAAAGATGCCAATTCAAACCATGTTTTCCTAGCTGCTTTTTCCATTTGATTTTTTCCAATTTTTGATGCTTTCATGTAGGGGACTTCTACTGGCAATTCTGTATTCAATCCTTCCTATCTCCACCCTCAGCCTCAGAGGATGAAGCTTTCCAACATCACAACACGGGATACTGTTTCTGCGGTAAATTGTGTGACCTAGTTTGGAGGCTAAATAAAACGGGTGTGGCGACAGCAGAAAACAGATGTCGGACTGGAGCCTGTGGTTCTGTTGCTCAGAGCAAGTTTTTGCCTTTTTTCAGTATTACCTTTGCTTTATGTCATTTTCTCTAGACTTCTACAAAAAGGCAGCGTACTCTTACTATTCTTAATTTAAAAACTAATGGAATCATGTAGAGATCTAAATACTTCTGACCATGACAAATATTCTAAGGGTATTAACAATACATTGGGTATGTGAATATACCATCAACGTGGAATTTCATCAATACGTACAAACATCTGTCTGCCAATTTGTATGGAAAAATATCATTTTATTTGCCAGATGTCTGACTCAAATCCTGAAAGAATAATTTCAGTGCATTTCACAGGCAGAAGGCACTAACCCACATTATTCACACCTCTAGACTGAATACCTGGCAACACAGGGAGGCAAACACCAGCAATTAAATGTCTGTCTCCAATTTAAAAATAATTCCTCAAGTCTAGCATTCTTGTTTTGGAATATGTTTTTAGCAAGTGTTTACCTTGCTTTCATTTTAAATTATACATTTCTCCAAACAAGTCATGAGGCTTCCTTTCCAAAAAATATTCTTCCAGTTATCCACCTTCTACCTTCATCTGGTATCAGACCTGAATAAGTAATGCCCCACATTCCTCTAATTCCTGTAACATCTTGTAGTAATTTGCATTTTTACAAACTTCTTTTGCCTTCAACAATTCATTTATTAACTATTACACATAACTTTCCTGCCTTTGGGAAGTATAAGTGTCTAAACCACCAAAAGTTTACAATGTTTTATTTTATCTCATTCTTTTACTGACCAGATATAACTCTTGGCAAATCTCACTATCCTTTAGTATTCTTATTTACAAAATGAGTCAAGACTCCTCAGAGGTCACAAAAATTAGGTAGCTCTAAAGTTCTCTGGAATTCTTAAGACCTCAATATCAATATACAAAGCTTGCATATTTCAAACTCCTTCTCTATATGTGACTACGGGCTTTTGTTGTCTGAACAGTTTGTTCTTTTAAGACACTTAAAAAGATTCAGCCTCTACAAAAAGTCAGAGAATCATCTGATCATTGATCAATCCTTTGATCATTCTGGTCCATCTTCTGAACTCTCTCTTGCATAGCAAATGCTTCAGGGTAGAACGTTCACCTCTCCTGGCCTGAACAAACTGTGGAACAGTCTCTTCTATCCAACTACCCAGTAATGGTGAAAAATGCAAAAAGCAAAGCAGAGGAAAAAGTTATCTGCAAAGGCAAAGCAGCCTAAGGTCTCCACAACCTTTACGAAAAAGTACTATACCTTATATGACCACCAAAAATATCAGTGATTGGAGTCTGAACAAAGTCAGCCTGTCGAGTGACTGATGATTTGTTGCGAGGTCCCACTTGCTCCCATTCATCCTCACTGCCTTCCCCTTGTTCATCTTGCTCCTCTTCTTCATGAACAGTCTGAGCCTCAGGGCCATTGGACACTGAGAGCTCTTAAAGAAGAAAAAAAAAGGCATTTTTTTAACAAATAAAACATGTATACAGATAAAGAATTTGAAAGAAAAAAATAATACAAATAATTTCCAGAGGATAAAATATTTTAATAGATAATAGATTTGAGAAAGTAAATGAGAACAAGTATATTCCAGGTGCACTGAATATAGCTGGACACATCCACAGATGAAGAGGATGTAGGTCACTGATGACTGTACGTAAACAGATGTAGTTTTCTAGCAAAGCTTGATATATTTTTAGTAGTAAATTTACGGGGTCAAAAATTGGAAAGTGAAGTGTTATTCTGGAAACATAATTATGCCATTATTAAATACAACTCCTTTTCTGCACAGGTATTTTACAGGGAACCCAAGGCTTAGCAAATATTTTCTTTGCAAGTGCCAAAGTCAGGAAGCTATAAACTGCACATAGCTCAGGAACAAAATATGGAATGAACATTTTATATCATAAAAAATTTACCCTACTAAAGAGAAATTGGATAGCTAGTGATCTTAATTCTATACTTGGCTAATGTTTGGCTAAGACTAACAGTGTTTTGTTTCACTTTTCATAGGGGGCCCAAACATAAAGGCTACTGTAAAATAAAATGGCATTTTAGTCTGCACACAAATTCTAAAGCTTCTTCCAATAAAAAATTTTCTCTAACTTTGTCAATAAGAACTTTAAAATAATTTAATATATTCTGGTTTATATTAGATATAAATTAGCCATTAGTCTATAAGTTTCCACTTAAAAAAAAAAATCTCAATCAACAGTGGTTTAGAAATCAGTGAAAAAAAATACTGATATTTTGAACTAGAACAGAGGGCCAAAACCCCAGTAAGCAACGGACATTGTAGGTATTACGAAAGAAAGACAAACATACCTATGCTGAAGAGAAGACTAGTCAATTGAGTGAGCCTCAAATAATGCTCATCTGAGCTCTGTAAAAATTTGTAATACAGAACTTTGTTGCTTAGGAGGACCAGGTATATGACCTCTTGACATTCAGGGTATTCACAGCATGATAATGCTTTCCCAAACACCCAGTAACACTTCAGATCCCTTGTAATTGGACAGAACAGACCGATTTTATCCTCTGGACAGATTTTAACAAAAGATGAACGTCTTTGAGTCCCCTAAAACAGCATTCTATCCCTATCCCAACATCTACTCCAAACATTATTCTGCATTACAGAATCATCAAAAAAAAGAATGTTTGAAAGAAATTAAGTTTGCTACAAAAAACCCCCCCAAAAAACCCGAAACAAAACCAAAAACAAACCACACTAACTTTCATTATGTGGAGAGAGAAGTTTCTTTAGGGTCAGCATTTCTTCATGTAACCCATTGAGTATAAATCCCAAGTATTCTTCAGCATCCTCTTGCCTGCCCTGAATAAAAATTTTTTTTCAATTATCATACGATATTTCATGTTTTCATTTTCACAGAATGTTCATGACACTGAACATCTAGCTTTCTCGTATTAATTTAGCTAATTTACGAACTGCTCAGTCTAGGCGGTAAAGTCAAAGTTTAAATTTTACTGTAACAACCCCTCATTTTTAACCAGTTCAAAAAGATCCAACACATTAATTGGTAACCTGCCACAAACAGCAAGTACACACATAAGCTTGACTCAGATTCAAGCATTTCTGCATTTTTCTCAAATTTAACATGAGAGTTGGCAGGTTTTTTTTCTATTTCTTTTAAAATTCATGTTAAAAGTTGCTGTCAAACCAAGGTCAAATTGAAAGATGGTTTGAACCATTATCTTTCCTTTAAATTCAAACTAAACCTGAAAGGTTATTTTGAAGTCTCTGTGGACCTTCAAGCATTCCAAGATAAATCTCAAGCAGAAACAAGCAACTGCTCGTTTCTTAAATATAAATCAATAGGTATAATAATCTTTATAAAAAGATGCTCCATTCCAATTGTAATTTCTCATTATTGTGACATAACAAACTGCCAAAATTACAATTAACATCCTCCTATAACTTAAGTCACAAGACAGTCTAGCTTCATTGTAACGAACTACCAAGTAGTTGATTTTAGTGGCATTTAGCCACAGAACCTGATGTACGGCTTTACACTGTTTTAACGACAGCGACTGTTTTGCAATGCCACTACAAAAGTCAAAGATTTGTAAGTCACACCTTTTCTGACAGGCTTGACTTTATAACCGTCAAAAGTCTATAAATGTATGTAGGTTCAAAGGCAGCTCCTGGCCGGATGTCTCTCACTATTTTATCACCTAAAGCTGCAAGGCAAAGAGAAGTACATATAAAGAACAGTATATATAAGATTTTCTACACTATACCTACCTTAACATTCTCTTCACACACATTACTAGATTTTGTAATAAAAAATTATTTTTATTAATAGTTTTTAGATATAACTCTTTTATCTGTAAATGTTTTTTAAAAAACATCTTGCATCACCCTTCATAGACTTACATATGGTCTGGAAAAGTTAGTACTCTCTTTTTATAGTCAACACTGAAGATTAACAAGAATATCCATAGCCATCACAAAAGAACAATTCTGGTTCTATTTAAATTTTTATACTTCTTTTGTAAAGAACACTTCCTTAAACCTTTTATATATTTGCAATTCCAACAGACCCCTTTTCCTCACTGGAGAAAAAAAAAAAAAAAAAAAAATCAAAAACCAAACAAGAAACAGTTTGACAGAATTTTCAACCTAATAGCAATACAAGGCCTCAAAAGCTGTATTTGAAAACTACACAATACAATAAAATGACCCAGAAGTATAATAAGTTGCATAAGACAGTAAGATTTGTTTCACAGAAACAAAACTTAAGCAGCAAACCACAGAAATGTCTGAACTGTTTGGAAATCACTGGAACAACCAGCTCTTCATCATATTTTCTTATAATGTTACATAAACACATTCCTGAAACCGGTTTTTCTTTCTATAAGTTTGTAATACAACAGATCTGGTTCAGAGATTTAAAAAAAAAAAAGAAACGACATAATTTATTTGCATCAAAAAAAAAGTTCTATTCTTCATTACACAATCATCATTGATCCTGAACATGTACTAGCAAGAATTATACGCTTTGAAAGTTTTCACATTGAAATAGTGCACAGGATTGGGAGCAATTAAAAACCACGATAACATGCCTGCAGGCAACCTCTAACTGCTAAAGAGACCTCCTATGGCCCCATTTTGTTCCAAATGGATGCAAGTGTTTAAGGAAGAATGATCGAATTGAGCAACTTGATAAACCAAACAGCTGGAAAAAATGTAAGGAAGGAAGTAGAGTAAAATACAATGAATATAAAATTATTCTGTTAGAAAGGACATGTTCTTAGAAGACATCTTAACAATTAAGCTACCTTTCAACAAAATTCTTCTTATTGCACTTGTACCTTTGGTCTATCAAATAGAAGAAAAAAATCTAAGGTGTAACACCTATGACTTCCTGACATGAATCACCAGGAAGAAAAAGCCTAACACAGACAGAAAAGGAACAGACAACTTTTCAAGTTATCAAGAAACCCAAAAAGTCCAAAGAGCCGTGAAGGGGATCAAGCACCACTATTTAATGCCGATCCTTACCCCAGAGCTTTTTATTGTGATTTTGAGACATTTTTTCCCCTATTCCCACTCACCTTGTTTTGCTTTAGGAGGTACAGGCATATTAGTGAACTCATTCATTAAACGAACACTGAAACAGAATGGAAGGAACAACTAGACATGAGCAGCAAGTTAAGACTTAGAAGGACAAATCATAAAATTACATCATTGTCATTACTCACTGGCAAAACAATCGAAGAATATCATAACGAAGTCTAAGTTAAGTTCAGACCTAAAAATTAACCTGATCATTGCTAATGAAACCAAGGTGTCAGGTTAGACCTTGCAGCTCTCACAGTTCACTTTTGCATATTAAACACTATTTAAAACTCATATTCCTCAGGCAACAAGAAGTATCTTCCCTGACTAGTCAAGCAATTGTAAAATACCAAGTTCAGTATAAAAGCCAGGTATCACCAAAAAAACCACACAAAAAGACTTCTGGATAGATATCAACTTTAAACAACTGCAGTAAACAGTCATTTGTCAGATACCTCTGAATGACCTTAGATCACAGATTTATTTTTTTTTTAGCAAGCTACTTACAAACTGTCTATCATTGGTGTTGAGGTACACGGCCGCTGCGATTTTGAATACATTGGAATGGACTTCATTAAATGATACATTGGAGGGCAAGCAACCAAGGCTTGCAGGGTCTATGCAGTGGCATTAAGGAAATATTCAGAAAATGTAATCTGCATATTAACCAAGTATTCAATTATATCGAAAATTATACGCAAAACAAAGCTAACTCTTTTATTATGTAGACCAATCCAATAACTAAATTGGAACTGATGGATGGGCTTTTATTACAGCATTAACCAATAACGTACAGACGTTGTTCTAAAAAAATCCCAGCATCTTGTAACAAAGTGGTTTCACTGACACTTTAATAACGTCAAAAACTTTAATTAAAGGCGAAGGAAACATTTAGTCTAGGAGCAGGAGAGGAAAAGAGCTTTCATAAGAAAGACATTACAAAATTAACAATTTGAAAATTGGTAAGTGGTAACCTCTAACACATTTTCTGAAAAGAATGGAAGAAGCCAGCTGACAGACTTCAAGTCAAAGGTGATGATTCACACCCATAACCAAAACAAACCAAAAAAACCCGCTGTGATGGGAAACATTCTGCAGAGAAAAAGAGTTTGGAGCAACCAGTAAAATTACAGTGCACGTTGGGAGAAAATACTTTAAAAACACCAAAATCCGTGCTACCTGGTGAGAACAATGGATAGAGGAAATGTATTAAAAGACTGGAGGGACAGGGAAAGGGACAAAAAAGGCAGCGACCTCAACAGCTAGAGAGATTTATTGACTTGATCCCTGTAGTGTACAAAAACTGAGTAACAAATTCCTGTGTAACATTTTAGAATGAGAAAATGGGAGCTAATACATACAGTCAGATGAGTGAAGAACTGGTCATGTAAGACAAAAGCTGACGTTTAAAGCAGAATCACTGGTGGGGAAATAGGTTACAAGGTTGCGCCATGACCAGTCTTGAAATTAGTTTTTTTCACTAGCACCTAAAGTAAAAGCACCCTAATTGCTGCTTCCAGTTAGCCATGGCTAACATAGGAAATATAGATAACTTAATAACAAAAAAGCTACAATTAATAACTAACATATCACAGCACTGAAGAAGGAACATTTCTGTTACCCAAGGTAAAAGTCTTTTTTGCAGAATACAATTGTAATGCCTTAAGAGCGAGCTAATCTTCCACTTCATTGTAGAAGAATTAAACACTGCATTCGCACAGATGATATAACAGTGACAGCCTGCTCAACAGAAAACTAAATAATCCACTTACCAAACTGCCAAAAACAAAGCATAAGAGCAAGAATAGTTACTTTGAGTACAAAAGAGAAATAACCACTTAAGTTGAAGCACAAAGGGTCATGAGTAAACATGACCCTTTCTAGTAAACTAGAAATTACAAGGAGGTTTTCAGTCCTTGGAAAGTTACAGTTCTGAAATATTTTGACAGAGGTAGCAGAGACAAATTGCAAACAGGATTGTGCAACCAACTGCAGGGAACCCTGGAAAGTAGGTTCAATGATCCAAAATACCCCTGGATTTCTAGATGCTACCCTGAAACATTTTAACCACAGCGGTAGGATATGGGAAGACAAACACTTCTATAAAATACTTACCAGAATAATCCAGAAAAAACTTTGACAGATATAATATACAAATTTTAACTTAAGTGTATTAATTTTTTCCAAGGTAAGGATACAGCATTGATGTAGCACCAGTTTCCTTTGTTGATCAGCCCTCGCGGTTGCAAAGACACTGGTTTATGTATTAGTCTTACATTTTCCAGTATTTCTGCAGAATGAGAAACAGTAAATTGAGCATCAATAAAATGCACATGCTAGCCACCAAACCAAGTATCTGTTAACACATTGCAAAATAATCCAAACCAATTAACAAGATTCCCAGAAATAATTCCCAAATAATTTACCCTCCATTTAAACACTGCTCATATTTCAAATCAGGGGTTTCTTCATCTGAAGACATTCTGGAATTTGGGTCAGGAGGATGCTGGTACAAAAACTTGTCATTTCAGAACTGAGACAACCTATCTGTTTTTGTTTTACTAAAATCAGATACTTTTCTTTATATAGATATATAGATACAGATATAGATACATCTATAGATATAAATTCCCATTAGCTGTAATCCCTTGCTTTTTATTAAGTAATTCCCAAATTCTTCTGGTTTGAAGAGAGATTAAGCTGATATAGGAGTCTCAGTTTCCACACTATCTTACAACAAAAATATCTTAGTGCAAACAGGACAGACAGATGTTAATGTTGTCTTCTGAACAGTGTGTTTTATTTACTGTTGAGACTTACAAAAGCTACAAGATAACAGGCTTACATAATATAATGCCCTACTGTTTTCCTGCTTTCAAAAACTTCAGCAATGGTCCAAATTTAAAAATCAGAAACCACTGCACATAAATAAGTCTGTCTCAGTTATGAAACAGAGCAACAGTGGGAGTTTCTTCAGTAAGTCTGGCCTGTTATTTAGGTACCTAAATAAAAACTGTTTAAGGAAAATATTGGATCTGGTATATTTTAAATTTGCAAAATAAGGAGAAGAGGTATACAAGACAAAATAAAAAGTTCAAATAAACATAGTAATTGTCTGCTAAGGCAGTTATTTATTTTTATAATAAATGTGAGTGCCTCTAAAGCCCTCATATGCTGCATTGCATAAAGAGTTTGAGCTGTTTACTAGGACTATCTAAGCAGACAAGACAACATGATATGGGTGGAAAAGCAGAGGCACACAGCCATAACTAAGCAGAGGAGGTGGCAAAATTGCAAAAAAAAAATCCCTGTCCTTCTACTTCCAAACCATCTCTTTACCCGCAAGATCATATTTCCGGATCCATTCTAACAAAAAAAAAAAAAAAAAAAAAAAAGCCAAAAAGCAGAAAATATTTTCATCAGTCCTCTATTCCATAAAGAACCTGACACCTGAAAGGGCAGAGAGCAAAAAAACGTAAAAGGGAAGATGTTAGCACCCAACACAGATGCAGATGAAAATTCTTCTGTGAGTGTTGAAATATGTTTGTTACTAAATTATTAATGCTCAAGTGTTTCAGAATATATTGTTAAAGCAGCAAAGCTTGAGACATGTTGTGCACATACAATTTTTCTGTTAATATAACTAAGCACTGTTGAAAATTAGGATAAAAATAATGAAAAAAGTGCTCATCTTTCATGTCTATCAACAATCACATTAACTGTATTCTATCCCATTTCTGTATCACACTCAATAAAATTATTAGGACCTTTAGCATCCTCTTGTGGTCATAAAATTCCTTTGTAAACAACATCTACAGGAGTTACAGTGAGCTTTCTTTCTTTTAACATAAAGAGCTATTTTTGTGTACAGCGATTACATTCAATACCACATTTTCATCACATCTAATATTTACACAGTAACTAAAGGAACTTTTACAAGCGTAGCAGAAGAAAAATACACTTACAACCACGAGAACACCTTCTTAAAATTTCAAAACCTGTTACAAAGCAGGTGTCACTAACCAGAAAGAAATCTCATTCCCTTTGGTGGATCCTGAATTGTGAAACATAACCTTGATTTGAAAATTTACCTAGAACAATAGTATCATGTTTAGAAATTTTTACCATTAAACAGGAAATATTATGTTGAAGTTCATTCACTAGGTGGTGTTATTACAAACATTTGTCTTTTTTTTTTTTTTTTTTAAAAAGGTAATTCTCAAATCAATGCAAGTCCCAAAGTTTAACGAAAGAGAAACCATGTGGATACGGTCTCCGTGCTGAAGAGACATGTGTTAAAAGTCAGCAACTTAACACCTAGCTTGAGACCATTATTTGGCAGATGTCATCTATGTCACTCAGACCTTTCTTCAAATCTGGACAGTGACAGAAAGTTCCAGGACAACACTGCCACATAACCCTACACAAAATCAGTTTCTGCAAGAATGCAGGTTGATACTACAACAGGCTAAATCTCTGAAGTTGTTCATAAAACCCCAAACTTTGCATATCTCCATGCCACATCTACTTGCTCTAGTGCTTACCTAGATTCACCACTAAGAAAAATTTTGCTAGTATGAAACACCAAAAAACCTTTGTTACAAATTAAACAAAATGATTCTTGTCTTCTTCATTACAGTCTTGGGAGAGCAGTGAACAGCCATCATCTTTATGAGTTTATTTATTTGAAGTTACATCCGTGATCACTCCACCAATCTTGTCTGAGACAAAGTAAATCCAAATTTTCCATGTTTGCTGAAGGAGTATGGTGTTCAAATCTTACTTCTGTTTTCTCTGCTGCACTATTAAATCTTCCTTGAGAAGTAATGCCCAAAGACCAGCATTTTCATAGAGTCCTCAACAGCAACAACAGAGTTATAGCTATCTTTAATCTTTTCCATATAAATTGGTTTTAACACACACTGGAAATAAAACTTAGTCTTCTTCAGCTTTGCTAAGGACATTTATCAACTCTCTAGAACTTCCAGATCCTTTTATCCTCAAATACTATTACCAATCACTTGTTCTTCATACTGCGTGCTTGCGTTTGATTTCTGTTCTTGCATTTATTGAATTGCCCTCCTTCTAATTTAAAATCATTCCAGATTTAGTCAGATCTTAAATGTTTGTGTTCTTCAATTCATCTGAAATTCTGCCTGCTGTAAATAAATTTTATGTGCACTGTTAATTTCATCATCCACAAACACCGCAAGAAAACATGATTCAGAAAAATCTTTTTAGATTCTCTCACTGAATTTTTTCCTAAAGTTATCAAGAACAGTTAAGAGCACTCAGAGAATAGCTAGTTCTCCAGTCACGTATTTCCTTAGTTTGCCTAGAACATTATATAAGGCATTATTAACTATTATCAGGTTATGCATCAGAGGGCAGTAACTGAAACATGGCAAGTGAAGCCTGAAAGACAGTCCTGATTTTCACAAATATGGACCATTTACATCCTTACTAGCCCTTAGAAACGAATTATTAAAATGTTTGCCTTAGCATATAAATTAGGCTAAGGTGTATAACTTTGCTTGCTGAACTCAAGATGCTTTAGGACTACATTTTACCTTTGTTCAGCATGCTATGGCACTTGCGGTCAAAAAACTTTCCCAGTGGCATGAGTTGAAACTGGTGAATCCCCAGCAAATTCAACAACAGGATCTCAACTCAGTCACACAGAAAACAAGGAACACAATCAGCAGCTACCTACGGAAAACACACAGGATTGCTATATACCCTTATATAATGATGGTAACCGAGACAGAAGATTTGAAATGAAATATGTACCAAACAGAGTAAAGGATCTCTCTGGAAATCATCAACTGAAACTCATGTAATGTATTTTTGAGTGTGGGTGTATGAATAAAGCACCAATGTACCTACTTCCCAAACAGGACAGAGAACATTAAAAAAAGAACAGATAATGAAGACAGCCGCCTTCTGCCACAGAGCAAAGCACTTATTACACGGCATTCAGATCTTCAAGTAAATGTTTTGTGCCAAAATCAGCACCATCTGAATGGCAGGAGCTGCAGCAATACATATCCTAGCTAAATCAGCTACAATGAGAAGATTAATTCCTCTGCAAAAACAGCTAATAGTGAAGGTGAAGAAAAAAACTGTAAAAAAATTACACTGCTATTTTAATGCACTAAAGACAAAATAAAAAGCTCTGCTCCCACCTGGTGGCAAAAAATAGTACAGAAACAGTAAAAGTCTAGAAAGTTAACTTAAAGCTGAAGCAACTTGGACAAGATTAAAAAAAATTAATCTGTGGCAAACAGTTCTAGCTTTACAGTTGTCACAAAATAGTTTTAAGTTAAAATGCATTACCAATGATAGCTTAAGATTTTAAGAGTAGAACATACTCCACACGTATCAGTTCATACGAGCCATAATCACCTGCTTATACACTTTTTTTTAATACAGTCAACTGAGTTTGTGACACCTAGGTGAAAAATACACAGAAATATAAATTATTCTGACAGCTTTCGTCTCAACAGACAATTTTAAGTCATTAAACCATTACTAAGTAAGGAGGAGGTGAGAGGCAGGCATACACTTCTGGGTATTCAGAATAGAAATCTCCAGGTCAGCTTCTGGTTAGAGCAGAAAACTTTACCTTGAAGCTGTCACGCACAAAACACCACTGTACTTGTAAATTAGCTTGTAGCACAAACAGGAACTTTGCACAAGCCTTTTCACATACGGACTATTTCACAGATTTAAAATAATTATTTTGTTCCAACACTCATGGGTCAGTGACACTAAACACAACCAAGTGGATATTTTTCTTCATGCTTTCTGACTGAATCTGTAAAAACAATCTCACACACATTCTAGCATTTCTCAGTAGAACCACAAATATGAGAGGAGCAACAGCCAACAGCTTTATATCACGCACTGCCTTTCCTGAAGTACTCTGGACAGTTTCTTACAGTTATTCTTGAACAGGCAATAGCTAGCATTGTTTCTGAATAAAATAATACTGTTTATAATGGTTAAGGATAATTCTTCAAAATCTGAAAGACAAACCTCTCAAACAGCAAATCAACAAATATAAAAACTATTTCCTGAATTAGATTTTCAGAAGCAAGACCTATTTAGATGTCACACTTAAGCTACTGTAAGCATCCAGGAATTTCAGCTACTTTGGCATAAATATATTAATATTCTCCTCATAATGGAACGCACTACAAGATCATAAATAGTGGGCAATGTAACACACCATTTTCAGAACAAACTTCTCTAACAGGTTCTCCCTACTACAGCAGCACACAGATGAATGCAACCAGCCTATTTTAAATCACAGCTCACTTAAACATATTGTTTGACAAGGAACAATAGTTTTACTGCATCTGGGATAATGACACAGTAATGTCTCATTGGAATGTTTACTCAGGGGGACACAAAACTAGCTTATCTGAATTACACCTTTCAGAGCAGTGTTTGAACAGTCATTAAGAACATTAACAGAGGAATCTTCTCTATCAATATTACACGCTCCTGTTTACAAGCAGAGTTAATACCCTTCCAGTGTAACATCCACTCGTGTGTATTAACTATACCTGCAATCTTTATGGCTACGGGATCCTCTGAAACTGGAACAGGTCCCTCTTTGACTTCAACCTGTTTTTCAGGGACCAGAGGAGATGTGGCAGGAGGGGTATACTTAGTCTCAACATAGACCACAGATGTGGAAGCAGAGGGCTTGGAATTGTGAAAAAGACTAGCCCACGATTTTGCAGGCTGATTAACAGGGACTGATCCTGCAACCGGGACTGTTGCCTCAGTAGTAGGTGAAGCTTCCTCAGGCTTATTAGCTTGGTCTGAGTCAGTGCTTTCCACAGTGTGCAATTCTACCGCATTGGCAGCTGTGTCCTCACCAGAGGATTCAAGTGTTTGTCCATTAGTAACGCCAAGATTTTCAGTAGTATCAGTACCAGCATAAGACTGTACAACAGCTGTCCTTAAAGGGCTATCTCTGCCAGTCTCTGAGGGGATGCAAAACTGTTCAGAATTAGTAACACGGCATACCTCAGGCTGCCCTGCAGTCCTGGTATTGTCTAGTGCGCTAGAAACAGAATCATCAGAGACAGCTTCGTTAATGAAGTCCACAGAATTGTCTGGGCTGTTGCAAGTCCTTGGTGTGGCCAGGGAGGGTATGTCTCCTGTCAGTTCTGTATCCTCCGTGCTTATACTGTTTAGTCCCGATGAATTCGCATGGCCATTTACAAGAGCTTCTGCGGGAGCGATGCCGTCATTGACATCTTCCAAGTAACTGTAGTATCCGGGCGGTCTTTTTTTCTTCTTTTTACGCTCCCTTTGTCCAAGGCCTCCAGACATGCCATCGTTTTCAGCGTTAGAACCGCTGTCCAAAGCGAGGGTTGGATCAGGGAACTGGCAGTCAATGGAGTTGTAGTTTGTTTCACTGAGAGTATCATCAGGGGTTTTCTGAGTAGGTGCACAACTAAGAATGAATTCTGGAGCCTGAGGATTCAGAGTACTTGAAATACTGTAGTCGGTGTTATTTAGTACAGATGACTGTGTCTCAATAACTTCATTAACACCAAATTCAATTCTCTGATACTCTTCCCCTGGACAAGAGAAAGCAAACCTGAGTTAGTGAACGACATCTAACCAAAAAGATACAAAATCAAGAAAAAAACCCCCATATTTTCCTGTAACTCAGAAAACAAACTACATTACCTCAAACAAGAATAATTCTTATTCTCTATCTCAATCCTGAAGACTATTTCAAAACATCATTTTCTTAAAGACAAGAGTATGATTCAGGTTTTCTTGAACAGTGTATGTGATTTTCCAAATCACTGCACAGTTCCTGTAAATAACATCTATTAAATACACCTATTAAGAAAAACTACTAAAGCCCAATGACTTTAGCAATATTCTGCATTAACTTAATTACTGGATCGTTGTGTTTAAAATATAGTACAATATTTAACTCCACACTTCTTCCAAAGTCTTTTCCACTGACAGTTACAAAATGCAAGCCTTAATCTGTTTAACTTTAAAACAATTTCCACGTGTGCAGTTTGGTTTTTGGGGAGATCGGTTGGGTTTTCCTAGTAAAGACCTTGGAACTTTGACATGCTCTTTAAAGAAGCACTAAGAAATATTCTCATGGCAGGCTGCAGTGTCACAAAATACTGTCAGTCAAAGTACTGCAATGCCATGGAACTTAACTAGTTTTATAACGTGTGTGTGCTAACCAGTAACTCTGAATACTTCAGCTACAACTATTTCAGTAACTATCAACTAAAGAGACAAAATTAACATTATTGCACTCAGTTTCATTAAAGGTAAAATCACATTTTAGTACATAAAGTTCTGTAGGTCATTCTATCATATATGTTACTGTTTCAAATACATGAATTTTAATATTTTCTCTTTCCTCAAAGATGGGGGGCTAAAAACATATTTAAAGTTTTTAAGACTGTTACCAAAGAACCAACCAACACTAGGTACTATTTGCAAAGGAATGTAAGTGGATACACCACTACACTTTGAAGATTTTGTGCAAGTGACTTTTATTTTTTTTTAAACACAACAAAGACCAAGCAACAGTTCTTATGGAAAACAAATTATTTGCACACCTAAGGAAATAATCAGCATGGAAGGACAGAGTCTAGTGGAGAATGTTTTGATACAAAACTGTCAACATAACAGTTTGAAACTCTCCAGTTACTTTCTAGAAAAGTCATTGATGAAAATTTTATCGTTAAAAAAAAATTTAGAAAGAAACAAGAATCTAGAGGGTATATCTATTTTTAATACCAAATGAAGAATAACAAACATTCAATGTGCATTGATGTCTGACTTACACATGCAATACCAATATATTATGAATTAATAAACAAAGGTATATAACACAGATGTTAATTACTTGTCTGCTTTGATTTTTAGCCTAAATAAATGAGAAGTAAACACATTTCACATATCAATTTCAATCTTGCTGCCAGTCACACTAAAAGAAACTTTAAAAAAAAAGAGAGAATAATGTTAACAAGAGCTTGAATTTCTAATTTTCTTCACCCCTCTCCCCTACACCCATGAGAAAGCATTTTATAACACCTTGCCTGTCAATCCACCATTCACCACTACTTCTGCAATCCCTGAGTAGCTATCACCAACCAGAGAAAGAGGGTTCAAGTTTCTTGTAAAAAAAAAAAAATCAGCAGCCTAGAGGCAGGGAGGTGGAAAGCTGCTGCCTGATATCCACTTAAGAGGGAAGGGCTGGGAGATCTCAGGCATCACCTAACTGTTTAGCAGCAACACTAAACGGTTGTCAGCACCACACACTGCCTGACCCAACAGTTTCAAACCAGCCACAGCTTCATTTTCTTGCAAATGCAGGGCATGGGGTTTTAAGGGATACGAGACACAAATCCACAACAAAACTGTTCCTTATTAGTTCACCTACTTATGGAGCAACTTGTTAGTTAAAGCATGAACCAAGAACTCGCTCATTACCCACTGTAAGAGTAAAAAGCACACACAACAGATGGTAACACCCAATATTCCTCCAACCACGATAAAAATTAATTGCTGGGAACATTTCAAATCCCCACCAGTTGAAAATAATCTGGGACTTCTGTTTCTTTTCCAAAATCCCAGTTAAAAAAAAAAAAAAATTGCTTCAAAACAAAGAATGTGGTTTCCCTTTGTGGGCAAGTTAAGTCCACCATAACCAAGGTGAAAGTTCTCACTTCTGCCCTCCCGTCTTGCTCCTCTGCCCTCCAGCAAACTTCCAGCACTTATGTTACCGAAAGCTAACCTAGCAAAAAAAATAATTCAAGTGAGTATTTTTTCTTCTGTTTTGGTGAACTTATCAGTTTACTGTACCCTAGACAATCACAACAGCCAACTCAGGGCAGGTGGGGAGCAGAAAACAAAACACATCCCTTACAATTATGGCACAATTGTAATTTAGCTGAAGGTACAACATCAACATTGTAGGCTAAAATCTTTCCAAGAGCATAACTGATATTCTAGCATTTAACATACAAATTAGGAAGTTACATCTGAGGAATTAAACTTTACACCTTACAGCAGGAGTAGAATAATAAATACCAGCAGCTACTGTATAGTTAGTCTATGGGATGACTGGCAGAAGCTCATTTGCCCTAAGATTGTGTCAAGCTCCTTTGAAAAAATTAGAGGTCATTTTTTCTATTTGTTTTGACTTTCCACTTTGCTTCTGGGCATCTATGTTTCAGTCTAGTTCACAGTGCTATTTCTGAATGGACTGGAACAGATATATCTGTCATGAACAACATGACGCACATATTGAAACAAGTACCAACAGATGCTCCAAGGACAAAGTCTAGGTACAGTACCAAAAGCTGTGAATACGCAGTACTAATTAGTCTGAACAGAGTTCTGTGTATTAGAGCTTCAGCCGTGACTTGATTATTCCTAGTAAGCATTAACAGATCTAATTCTGTAATAAAGTTAAATACTGAAGATAAGTACAGGAAAAAAATTAGACTACAGGGGGGTGACAATATGGTCAATGTGTGTCATCTCATTATAATTATAAATATTCTGCATAAGCACAGCATTCCATTTTAGTTTCCACAGTTTCTTATGCAGCCATCACAGTGATAACACGCATGCACAGTACAGTGCAAGCTTGTTAAAGACATTTTTCAGGCAAAACCTAATTTGCTGTCATTACCTACTCTCAGGGCTGGGAGGGGTTCTCTCAGGATCTGAAAAACATTTGTACAAACCAACTTTCTCTATGGCTTGTGACAATTAAAATCTCAGTCTTAAAAAACAGAACTTAAATCCATAGTTAGGCAAAGCAATAGATGACTGGACACCCATCATCAACAACAGACAATTCATATCATATGGTCCTTTTAACGAACATTTCCAACTCCTACTTAAAACTACTCAGGGTCCTATAACTGGTCTTGTACTAAATAAAGCTCCTGAATTTTCAGAAATATTGCACATCTGCTTTCAAATAGGACCTGTTGTCCTTCTTTATGACTAGCTATCTTATTTACCTTTAAATGCAAGGCCAAAGTCGCTAACCATAACGATCTGGTGTTCTTAAACGTTTTTATGTGCATTTTGGTCCTCTTAAGTACTTTTGAAAAATGTCCAGTCAGACACTTGCATTATTTTGAAGGAGATCTGGATGTCATTTGCCTCATTCTCATACACATCTGGATAAGTCTCAGCTTCCTTGCTCTACCCTGGTTCAGGGAAAAAACAAACACTAATTTACCTGCCACTTAAAATATTGAAAAAGTTTGGTTTAAACTATAGAGTTATGGTCATGTAACATCCCCTACTTATCTGTCAACTTTACGTAACTATGAAGTAAGGCCAGGTTTCTTCTTCAAGTTGAAAGAGAGAGTGAGACACAGTAGACACGTGACTGTTACAGCTTTAAAATGGGAACTCTGTAATGCATTCTTACATTGAGACTCATACTTTCACACACAAAAAAAAAAGAAAAAAAAAAAAGAAGGATTTTACAGAAAAATAGCTGAACCAGACAGAAACAAGAGTGTCAAAGGGAACTGTGAACAGAGCACTGCTTGCAGAGCTGTCTTCAGGTTGCAACTGCCAGAAAATACTCGGGCTACAGCTCTTACAGGAGGGCCAGTTGAACGCCACACTCGTTACTTATTTCTTCAGTACAAGCTCTCTAGTATGGTTCAGCCCCCTACCATTTTTACAGCTACATCCTACAGTGTTTCACCAAGATACTAAGACTGTGTGGTAGCACAATCAAGTGCAGTAGGTATATCCACCCTAATTAGCTGAAATTCAATGCAATATTTTCAAATACTCTCATAGATCTTATTCAATAAAGGTCTTTAAAAAACCAACCTGCCAAATATATGCATATATACCTGCATTTGAAAGATTAAACAGAAGTTATACTAAATCAAAGGAAAGCGTCACAACCTTTAAGTTTAAAAAAATGGGTACTGATTCCTTACCATGGTGAAACTTACCTGTGGACTTAATACCACATGAAACTGTTTCATTGTACGGAGGGAGCTGTACAAAATGACAAAACAACTTTGTTAATATTTGGTATCAGTTTCATTTCAAACATTATCTGAATACTTTAAAAATAACATCATTAAGTTTTGCTTTTCTGAGAGTAGGTCTTGAACTCATGCTTCTATATTTATCAAATCCCACACTGTAGCTTCAAGTGTCCTTGCAGATTACCACAACTACTGAAAGATAAAGATTATCTTGGTTACACACCATAGGCTCATCAACTTCTCAAGCAATTCACTTCATAGCAACAAGATCCTTCTTCAGCAACAGTATCTCACCACGATTTTAAAATGAGGACCATATCCTCTTTTTAGACAAAAACTAAAGATAGACCAAATTACCTAAGAAAGGATGAAACAAGATTTAGCACAGACAATAGTCACACCTAAACCTTTTGACTCGCAACCTGGTTCAGCTATAGTGTTGCCCTTGAAATGTTTCAGCTACGGTATATTCTTAATCACATTTAACAGAAACAAGAAATTTTTATCATTAGCCTAAGCCCAATGTAACCACAGCACATAGATTCTACCCAGATTGAAAATATATCTACTATAAAACACTGGCATCATTTTATGGACTGGGCAGTTGATAGAACCCTTGCTATTGTGTAACCGCAGCTGGGCAATTTCTAATCCCCTCTCGCCTGCCCCAAAGTCCCCCAGCAGCTGAAAGCCTTTTCCTGTGCCCACAGAAACTGGTACCATTGCTACACTGCAGCCCAGCAGCTGCCTGGAGAACAGCCGAGATCCTTCTGCAGTGGGAGATAAAACTTTTAGAGTACAGTGCAATTTTATAACTTTATTCTAAATATTAATTATAACGGTGTAACATATATCAAAAGACTTCTCCATTAAAGTCTTCCGTTCTGTAAAGCTACAGATACTTACATATTGCCTTCTTAAAGCACTGTAGACAACAGTGCATCGGAACTGGCAAGAAAAATATTCATAAAGTTCCATTATAAAACAGTGCATAAAAAGACCACATACTGTCAAATCCATTTATAAACCATAATACATCTTAACACATCAACTTTCCAGGTCAAAAATGAGAATCAATGGCTCAGAAAGAGGCTCCAAGCTGTTAAGAATCTATTATCCAAAGTAATATTGAACACAGATTCAATATTAATTTTATAGTTGGAGCTAAAAAAGTACTCTAAATGTCTACACTCAACAGTTTATGATAGAACTCGTAATTCTTGTTTTTCTCCAATTCAAAGGGCTGAAGTACCAAGTAAAAAAGAACAATAAAAAAATAAAGAAGTCCACCTATTGATCCCCTACACATCTGGTTAATTAACAGCACCTTTGTGAAGCAGAGATTTCTGAGTTGACCTGTTTCATACAACTGGGTCAGTCAAGAGGTATCTGATAGCACATGTATTAAAAATGCCATTTTAAAAGAGACATTCTAGACAACTCCCAGCTTTAACTAGTCCCTTGCCTCAGTCCACCCTTCAGTCTATAGGTAAGGGACTTCAGAAGGACACCAAGCATCAACGGCCGCTGGACTCCCAGAACTGGCACTGTCCACAACAGAATGTGTGTCAAGCACCACTGCAGTATTACAGTCTCAGTCTTGTCCTTCTTCAATTTCAACCTATTTTTTTCAGACCACTTTCTCTGAAGCATCTGCACAGTGTGAAACTAATAAGCATAATTTTATTTCATCATCCAGATAATTAAAACATTGAACTGAACCAGATCAAGGACAAACTTAAGGAACACTTAAGGTTCACCGCAGTTTTTTATTTTGATAGCTAACCAGTAAGTGGTACACTTAAGACAGTTATAAAATGAAGTAAGACTGGTTCACATGCTGTAGGTTCACATTTCCTCAACATACACTATTAGAATAGCTTTATAGAAGTCCAAATATGACATTTTCATCCTCCACAATATAAGCGTTAGAATAGCTGACGTAGGACACTGAAGGTGACACTACAGAGGATGCAAGCGTCCCACTGCTGTTGCTGTACTTAACGGTGGGAGAACAGCAATATAATCAGAAGAAACATGTCTTACCTGAAGATCTATTCTGCATTACTTCCCACCTATCAGAGAAGATACAAAGCTATCCCTAAAGGCAAGCAGAAGCTAGCTTTTTCTTTCCAAATTTTCCCTACCCCATTCCCTTCACGCACTTTTATTATTTAGAGGTATGTTATAGTAATTATACTTGGAAAATTAAGTTACAGGAAACCAAGTCACATTAACAACTGCAGTCAGATTTTGTAAAATGTGACAAGGATTTCCCCATCTACAGCTGAAGTGTTCATTTCCTTTACGTTGAGGGGAGAGGAGAGAAGCATGATTGAAATGTTTGAATAGAAATGTCTGGAGGAAAAACATGGAAACTGACCTAGAAGAAAATTATTTTTCACATCTGCAGATTAGGACAATGGCATAACACTCTTCCCTACAAAGGAAAATGGTTTCTTCACTCTCTGCCAAGAACTACAGTGAATAAGAGTCTACAATACTATCTGCAGTATGTTATGAACTCAAACACACAAAGACAACTGTTTCCACTCTCTGGTTTACTGTATTTACTTCATTATTGATCCACTTCTCATTTCTCAAACCTCTCACATAGCCTTCCTTGTAAGCATAGTTTGATGGTTAACAGTGCTCCACCTGTCAAAAAATATTAAGAATCCCTGTGTTTATAAAGGCTCACAAGATTGAGAAGCCCACCTTACTTACAACCAAGAACACTGCTGAAAAAAACTTCTCCATATCCATCTCAAAAGAAGAAAGCAATCAAAGCCCAAGTACCAGGGCTGGATAACTCACTTTCAACATCCTATCACTACAATGTCAGCTATTCCAGCTCTAGATGACAAGCAGAAGGTGGAATAATTAATTTATATCTAAAAATTGACTTAACATTCACATACATGAAAAGAAGACTGCTGTTCAATATCTTCAGTTTGTAAATTAGCAAGCTAAGAGAACGATAAAAAAAATAATTGTATTGTTATATTTCAAATATACACAAAGAAATGTAGCTTTAAAATGTTGTTTCTAAAAGATGTTTAATGTAGATCTTACCTCAACAGAGCATCGTGGAGTCACAAAGAACTGATTAAATTCATCAGGGCTGAACTCCCCAAAAATATACTAAAAATAAAAGAGAAGAACCTTTGTTAAAGAAGGATTTATATTCAATACAATTAATAAATTCATAGTAAAATGTATCAAGATACTAGCATTCAAAAAGGATCTGTGTGTTGGGAGCCAGAAATGCACCTGTTTGCATCCCAACTCTCATTTTAATTCCTTCCCAAGTCTTTAGCGAAGTACTTTAGGCTCTAAAACTGCACACAATGCATTTTCCTTCAAACTCCCACTGCAGGTAGCCGCAGCACAGACTGCAGCTCATCCCACAACCAGTTTTAAGCCAGCATTTAGAGTGAAAAGTCGCATGAGTTCGTGTAAGCCCTAATCACAAGCTGTTTTACCTTCTGAAAGAACACAGTTACACACTCTTCACAACAGAAAAACCAAGAATTACTTTCCAGAGTTCTGCTAAACTCATGAGTTATGCAAGAGTAACGGTACCACTACCTGAGTGCACAAGCAGTCCCACTGAACTGAAACTGCCTACGTGTAGAAAAATACACAAGATCTAATTAGTCATCAATTTTGGTACCGCTGCTCGTCAGAATCTTCTTACTCTTGTGCATGAAACTCTGCATAATGAACCTAAGATGAAATGTCTTTTTCCCAACATTATCTTCCTGCACCCTTTTAAATATTTTGCGTATTTTTTTCATAGAAATATAGAAGTGCCTAACTAGACCACAAAAAACCCTCACATTAAAATCAGAGTTTATACTTAGTTCACAGAAAACGAAACATTCTCTATAAAAAGATTTTTTCTCAATAAAAAAAACATATTGGCATTTCAGGGCACCTGGAAGTTTCTATTAACTTCCACCACCAGCTGTAACTAGCTGAATAGCATCTGAATGTTCAGAACAGCAGAGAGACACTAGGACAGAAAGAAGATGAACAAGGAGTTGTATAAACTGACAAAACAGACAAAAGGACTGGAAAACAGCACTAATAACACATTCTTGGCATGTGGAAGGATATTCACTTTAAGAGCCCCAAGTCACAAATATTATGGCTGTGGATAGAAGCAGATCAGTTTGGTCCAGAACATTACAGCTTACCACTCTCATCCATCTTCAGGGAACTGATGGTGATTTAAGACAATTCTTTGCTATCTACCCTTCCATCAGAAAACCAACATCAGCTTTCTCATCAGTGTTAAGTCTTGTTCATGGTAAATCCTTAGCTTGGCTGTATCTAGATGCAGTTAACTAGACTGGGAATTTAATCACTGAAAAAAAGTTCTTAAATTTTGAAACATCATCTCTAGTGAAGTCCAGACTGTTGTCACAAACTCCAGATAAAAAAAAAAAATACTATGGTTGAATTTCTGTAAGACCGTAGGTGGTTTACTCCAATAAAACCCACATACTTGCCACTTGCATGACTCACAGACATCTGCATTCATACATTTTCTATGATTCTATGATTTCAAAGCTTAAGTTTAAGCTAAATTCCACATAAATTACAAAATGTAGTTTTCTTACACAAAAAGTTATCTATACATACATCACTTTCATGTGTGGAAATAATTTAACCATTTTAATGCCCTTCAGTTATAATCTGGTTTGGTCGGCAAAGAATTCTAACAGTCAAAACAAACTGGAACATATGTGATACCGACATCTGAAGCACAACGAAGCCGTTAATGCTTTAAATAACCTTCATATATCCAGCTACTACCGAGACAGCACAACACTTAAACAGAAGAGGATTACCAAACTGTACTTGAGTGAATGGCTTCACAGTTCTTGGCACAGGACTTAAACTTGGCTCATGCTCTCAATGTAACCAAGTCATTTTTATTCAGTAACATACCAGCTAGAATTTATCATATTCCAAAAACACGCCTAAGAAAAACACTTGCTGAATCATAACTAAATTATGTTTTAGGAGCTATTTTTGATGCAGTCATGCAACAAAACAAAACAATCTCAACTATAGACTATTAAAAGTTACATAAATCCAACTTTAATTCCTCCATATAATAATACCGTCTTCATTTACCTACCAAAGTAACACAGGTCTGGTACTTCCTTCTGAGCAAAAGACAGTGCTGCTTTTTAAACAGGGAACACATGACAGTTAAACAAAATGACCATTAATACTGTCTTAACGGAAACATTTTACTATATAATGACATATTCACATAAGGAAATGCTGTGTCTATGCAACTGTTTCTTCATAACTTAAAACAGGACATTAAAAATTTCCCAACTTCTAACCCAAAACCCAATCCTAGTCAGACTATAGTGAAAAAAAAAGGCATCCCAGTTGGATCTGAAGAAACCAGACTTTGAGTTTATGAGGCTTTGTTTAACAATGCTTTATACCTGCAAACACAAAGTAAACCAGTTAAAAGTGCCCTGCATAATAAACTTACTGATGAAATGAATCACATGACTGATGAAATTAAACCTACCCAATTTAACCAACCTTTCTGTCCTCTGCCTCCCAAGTCAGCCTCGTCTTTCAAGAAATAGATTTCTGCAAGCTGCACACACAGCACCCTCTGGTAGCATAACAGAATTTTCTACCCTTTTGAAGGCACAACTGCTTGCTGAAGTGAAAAAAAAACCAAGCTATCACATCACTTGGCAAGTATAATAATGTCTACCAAAAAGGATGCACGGGAGGGAAAACCACTGCATTTTAAGCAACTTGAAATCTGGTGGTAGCTCCCTGCCTGCTGTCCACCCATCCCACATCCCAATGAATCAGCGTGCCTGGCGCTACACAAATGATCTCTGTGTAGGAACATACTTGTTTTAGCTGTGAAACAGCTTCAGAAAGACATCACTGTAGTACTTACTCTGAACCATTCATTCAAATTTAAAAAGGTTTTCTGCAACTTAAATGTCAAAGTAGTAAGCATTTTTAAGCAAGAGAGCGCTAGGATTTCATAAAAGCTATACACCCTTGCAAGAAATAATCTCATTACCAGTGTGAGATTTTGGGGTCCTAGCTGGTACACTCTAAATTATCCCACATAATTTCAAAAGCCTCAAAGTTAGCTTGTTTTTTTTCCCCACCAAACTGAAGTTTAATTACATTACTTACATAATTCCTACACATGCTACTCACAATCAGCATTATTTTACCCCACACTCTGCAAATAACATTGAAAACACACAGCAGAGATACACTAGCATGCATTAAAACTTTGCCAAACCCCTTTCAGACTATTTCAATGCCAAATGTTAGTATTTTCAGGTGTGCATTTGTACAAGAAGCAGATGTACCCATCAGGGCTACATCAAATGGATTCCTTTAAATGCCAAACTCTAACCTGCCCTACACCGTATCAATCTCTAAACATGTGTGTACATCACAGTACTCTGAGGTCCCAACCATGGGTAATAAACTGGGACTTCGCCATACAAGCTTCAAGGAAAAAGTGGGTTTCAGACACAGACTGCTTACGGTCAGCCCTAACGCAGGTAAGAGATTGTGATTTGCTTGGAGGTAAGCTGCTTGTCATACCGACCATTACCGCTGTGTCACTGCACCAACAGCCTTTTATTTTACAGTAACTACAACGGTACAGTTACCTGAGCAATGGACAACTGCCACGACAACACATATGGACAGCTGAAGGGGCCCAGTTAGCAAAAGCCATGCCCATGACCATCAGCAATACATAAGCTGAAGTATGTATGGCAATATACAAATCCTGAACATTAAAAAATATTACCAGGGAAAAGTTGAAGCTTAATTACTCAGAGCTCTACACACATTTCATTTTAAGGCAAAAGAAATCAAGCTTTCTCCAAGCAAAAATACTGTCTAGCATTCAATTACATTTTAAAAAATTAATTTTAATTTATATCCTCAAACAAGAAAATGTGCTTGAAAAACATGCTAAAGAGTAGTCAATGCTCTAAGCGGTAACTCACAAGCTAGAGCAGGAAAAAAAGAGGAAAGAGTTCAATCTTACACTGACACTGGATTTGGAAGAAAAACTAAGAGAACACTGGCAGTTTTGAAAATTTCTGATTGTAACGTTACCCCTAGACTTACTTTTCAAGATAAATAATCTCTAAGAGGCTTAATTCAGAGTCAAATCTGATCTCCCTCTCCTTCTCAGACCATCTCTGCAACTTACATAGCAGCTTTCTGTGCCAGCTCCTGGGAAAGAATCCTCTCTCTCTTTTTCGGAAGCACATATTTCACACTGCATTTCTCCCACTACTCCCCAGATTATTTAACTCTGCAGAGCAATCATTAACCTTGCATTAAATGTGTTCAAGGATCCCTTAAGATGCCTCTGTCTGGTGAGCTTGATTTCTGACATAGTTTAAGAGCAATGTCAAAATATTATCATATACGTTTCAACAATCTTCTACTTGCAGATGTACAAGAAAAACAGATGGAAAATAAGTCTCCTTGGGGGTGAAGGGGATGGAGGTGCAAAGAGGACAAGGCTTTGTGGAATTATTGAGGGGGGAAAATAAAAATCTTCCTCTATTACCTTTCCACTTTCTCATCAGCATTTCCAAACCTCTCCTTTGGAATGGAAAAACAAAACAGTAAATCCAAAACATATTGATGGATCTATTCCATTTTGCAATTCACAACTGTAACCCAATTTCACCATTTGCCAGAGATGTACAACACGTTATTAAAGACACTGAAATAAATATGATTTTAACTAATGTGAGTAAACATATACCAACATAATAAAATGCCTTTCTTGCACTGCATGATCAGAAATTGATGGCTTTTTTCATCTAGCATCTTCCATAATGATTTTTAACCACCAACCACTTTAAAATAAAATTATTCACAAGGGTTAGTTTCCCCACTTTTTTAAATGCTAGTTTCAAGATACACAAGTTTTTAACTTCTGGGACTTTTCAAATGTGAAAGCCTTCTTGCAGACACTCACACCTATGAGACCATGGATGAAAATAAAAGTAAACAATGCTTGAATAACCCTTAAAAATGAGATAGCACCAAGCTACACACAAAATCTCTCCTTTCAGATACTGACACCAACAATAAATAGCACATAAATTTAACAAAAAGTCAATGCAAAACTAAATACACCTTGTGCTGTTCTAAAATGATATCTCTTTTCACATGAAGCTGCTGGTGGAATGGGTGCTCCAGCTTTTAATTAAACTTTCTTATGTTACCAGTACTTCAGATTTAATTTATTTGCCTTATTTCCACCTATCAAGATTCTGCAATTAAATTTTGGGGATTGAATGCAAAACATTCTCACACAGCTTTGGAAAGTACCAAAAAAAAAAAAAAAAAAAAAGTAGAACTAAATTCCTGAAAATGTTTGAAAGAACTAGATACAACTGTAGTTCTGAACTCCTTCCTGTGTGACTAAAGAAAAAACATCAAAAGACCTACATCTTTGCCTTCTTCTTGAAGAACTTAAAATTGTGATACTAGAATATTATACAAATGCTCTGCGGATTAGAATTTTTTTTAAAAGTATATCACACTGGCAATATATTTTTCTACAATACAAGTTAAGAATATCGAATGAATTAGACTATTGAAGCCAGTACAGCAGAAAGGACTTTCAGCTCACATTTCCAAAACTCAGTAGTGAGCTGGTGTCACCAATTTTAGTGTTCAGTCTGACACACTGTAAGAGATCAAATTTCCTTGTGTTGAGGACCTGCCTCCCAACATTAGTTCTCTTTAAAAAAAAAAACCCTCATGTTAAATACCTCTTTTAGAGCAACACCCCAAACCCTTCTGACTGGCAGTCACTGGTGCTTCCAGTCACAAAACTGAAATCACTTTCTAAATTAATCTCTCTAACATGATTACAGTAGTACAACATACATCTGCACTCCAGCAGATTTTACACCACTTTGAACAAAACATGTCATCAATGACATCACAACGACATCTTCAAGATACTAACTGCATCTAAATTATAACACAAAGTACATTACACAAATTAACCAAATAAATCTACAGAAGAAAATTTGTTTTCTACCACACAGGAATGGAAGTAGGAGTACTTTTACCTTCGTACAATAACTCTGATGACCATCACTGACTAAGCAGCATCTTAACTATGCAGACAAACAAAAGCAGCAGTAACAGAACTAATTCCGGGGGGGAAGTTCTTCGAAGACCTCAAAGGATTAAAATGCCTGACCTGCAAGGTCTCCCCTTGTCAACGGTTTTTTTGCTGTGCTCTCCTTAACCACCTAAAAAATGAATGCTAATGTACGCAACTGCCTGTAATGAAATCTCCGCTGGTATTCCAGTCTAGCAACATGAACTCTCTCCTGAAGGAATACAAGGAGGAGGAGTACGTGCTACACAGCTGGTTGTCCTAGAAAAATGGGAAGAAATAGCACTGCTGATGCATCATCATCTTGGCATCACCTGTGCTACAAGAAAGCTAGGAAAATGAAATGTCAACTTCTGCTTTCAAGAAGCATTAACGTGGCTTTCATCTAATAACCAACAGCTTCAGATCTTCCAGTCAAATTAGTTTAAGCTGTGAATACTCCCACTTCAACAGCTTTTCCACAAACGACTTAAAAATACAGCTTTTACTTAATGGCAGCAAGGAATCATTTAACTGTATCCAAGCAGAAGGCCTAACAAGTCAAAACTAGTTCACATATAAATGGAAATGATGAAATAGTTTATGTATACCATAAGCTGTACAATCTTGCTCACCGAGCTACTTCCACAAAGTGTACTTATACTTAAAGCTATCAGGATAGGCTGGAGTAGAGGAAGAAAATGAACCAGAAGTCTGTTTCTGGCAAGGAAAAAAGGGCACATGCATATGACTGCATTTGGGTTTTATTAGCAGAGAAAATGCTCTTACATTAGTCATCCCAGCAGCAAAATAAGCTATTTCTCCTTTACCCTTTCCGTCTCTCTCATTTTGTCAAGATTTGTCTTTCTCTGGCAAGTGTAGGGAAAACCTTCCCTCAGGTTCCCCCTCCTCCTGAGGTGAAATCCATCAAGCCTTAGTACACAGATGATTATTTAATTTGATACAACAAGGTTTTTTAACTTCCAAATCCCAAGAAAGTTATTGGTAAAATGCTTATAAAAACACAGACAAAATTGTGAGACTGAAAAACAGGTTTGTTTGGGGTTTTTTTAGATTCCTAATTTGCAAGCAACAACCCAACTAGGTGCTATAAAGACCACTAGCCATATATTTACAGTTGTATCACAGCCTAAACAGTGGTATTTTAGGCAAACCAGTTTCTGAAAAAACCCGATGTTGATATATCCTCTTTATGGAAAAAATAAAGTCCATTTGTAAAAATAAGAATGCATGGAAGTGAAGCTGTACTTTAAGGTGGAGTGGCTGCATATTAAAGCTTTTAACAGCTGAAAAAGCACCGAAACCTGAGCAAACTCTTAGTACAGCTTACAGTCCTTTATCAGGAGCCTACAGCTTACAACGAACATTTAACTAATCTACATAGTGCCCAAAGAAAGATCACAGCTAGGTAAATGTAGGTCAACTAAACCCATGAGTCAGTGCAACTCTGCCTGCCTAACATTTAAGCAAGCCAAGGCTCAAAAATACAGTACATGACTGTACCTTCCTTTTTTTTTTTTTTTTTTTGCCAATTCAGGGTTTCTTGGATGTTATTCCAGAACTCTTACAGCTGAAAAAAGTCAGGCATTTTCCACAGATTTTACATGAATTAATCTGAGGGGAATTGATTCCATTTTAGAAAAAAAAAAAAAAAAAGATCATTCTCAAAAGCTCATTTTCAGATCAGAGGAAAAAACAGATCACTGGCTAGTATGAAAGCACAGGCTGGTGAAATTTCAGTCACAGCCATAGCATTACTGGAAGGGCAGACTTAATGAACAAACGGCTCCCACAGTCTGACGCTATCAAGGGGGCACAAAGTGGGTCTGAGCAGTTTATCCTGAAGACTGTAATTCAAACATTGACAAAAGCAGAGCAGGTTGTGCTCTTTCATTATTATTTGTTTTCATCAATTACATAGCATACTTAAATAACAGCAACACACTGAACAATAACCATATAAAAAACTGCCAAAACAGAAGCCAATTTCTTACACCCAAACAAATTCTGTTTATGTACTCTCTTCAGTCTATTACCAAAAATGAGGTGCTTGTTGGCATTCTTCCACTGCAAACAAACAGCAGCTGCCATAAGTGCAACCAGGCCAAGGAAGCTGCTGAAAGTGCTGACTGTAGTTTGGGGGTGGGAGGGGGGAGAATAAAGAATAACCCATCATCTTACACAGACATCATTGCATCTCTGAGTGTGGTGTACTTCCCCCAGCCACAGAAAGGAAAGTCTCCCACCTTCTGGCCTCCCAAGCGGGACTGCCCCAGAAAAAAAAAAAAAAAAAAAATCTGCTCTTTAACATTTAAAGCTTTCCTCAATTGATATTTTTCTTCTGTTCCACAGAACAAAAAAAAAAAAAAACAAAGCATGCCCAAAAGCAGCCACAGTTTTATTGTGCAAACAATAAAAAGTATAAAGAAGGCGGTGTGGCT